GGGGGGGAGCCAGCCCTGCCACTATGGGGCCAGGCTGGACTAGCAGTGCTGGTTCCACACTGCTGCTGTGGGGCTCAGCTGGAGCAAGGACGGAGGCTGTTGGCATGGAACAAAAATAAGAGGGGTGGGGGGTGCAGGGAGGGGGAGAAAGGGGAGGTGGGGACCTGAGGCAGCAGGTGATAGAAGCAGTGTGGAGGGTGGAGAAGCGGGGAATGGGAAGGGGGAATTGGGCAACCTGAGGCTGTGGGGTGGGGAGGAGGGGAAGGCAGTGGGGCAAGCAGAGAAAGAAGCAAGCAGCTTGCCCCCTTCTGCTTGTACCACCCCCCCCAATTTACCCCCCATTGTGCTTGCTTCTACTCCCCTACCCCTACAGCTTCAGGCTGCCCTGATTCCTCTTCCCCCCCCTCCCCCGCTTTCCTCCCCACTCCACACTGCTTCTGTCACCTGCAGTAGTGGGGGGGGCACACAAATTTAAGATGATCCTCCAATAATTAGATGCCATATATGGAAAATTATTATAAATTTATAAATTTTCCCTGTGTAGAATCTAATTATTGGGGGGTTGTATCAGGGTCAGCTTGTATTTGGGTACATACAGTATTGCTACTTACTGATAGTGTGCTAAAACTCTCCTTTTCAGAGTTCAGACCTGGGAGTGAAACAAAAGAGTGAATTAAACAGCCGCTTGGAGGAGAAGACAAATCAGATGGCTGCTACCATTAAACAGCTTGAACAAAGGTAAAATGACACTTTTTTGTTTCAGAATATCAGTGTCCCAGTGCTTTTTTACAGACAGTTTATAACAAATATTTATATGCAGAGCTGTAACAGTTGTTCCAGTGCTACTCCTAGAAAAGTCCCTTTTATAGAGTCCTTATTAAAATTTCAGTGGCCTAGTCTTGTCACCATTTTAAATCTGTCCATGCTCGCATTGCCCTGTGTAGGAGAATGGTTGTGCTCCATTATGGCTGTGGATTAAATTCTGCAGCTTGGTTGCAAAACATGGAAATTATTTTATTGATTCAGGAGACCAGGGTGTAACTTTATAACAGAAGTCAGTTGGCTTGTTTGTTTACATGTTTGACTACATCAGTATCATTTTGGAAAAACACTTGGGTCTCAACAGCAATAACACAATATAGTGGAGGCAAAGAGGATCAGTATTTCAAAAGGGACAGATCTGAAACTTATTTTGTAGTTCTGTGGTTTCTAGGGAGCCTGAGGCCAGGTGCAGACTTTCATAGAATCATAGAAGTAGGGTCGGAAGGGACCTTGTAGATCTTCAGGTCCGACCCCCTGCCTGGGCAGGAGGGAAACTGGGCTTAAGTGACCCCAGCCAGGTAGGCATCGAGCTGCTTCTTAAAGACCCCCAGGGTAGGAGCCAGCACCACTTCCCTTGGAAGTTGGTTCCAGATCCTAGCCACGAAAAAGAAAAAGTTTCTGTTGGGAGAATTGCCATCCTCCTGGTAGAAACCAAAAGCATACAGACATTCAGGCTTTTTCTCCTGGAGTAAAAGTAGCTTTTCCTTAGCTTAACTTTCCAGTTTTTTCGCCGGTTTAATTTCTCCTGGGGACCAGAAAGAATGGGGCCCTGGTTTGGAGAAGGTGTGAGGGTCACCTTTCCCCCCCACCACCTCTCCATAGACTGGGAGGTGAGGGTAGCAGCAGCAATTGCTTTCTCTCTCTTCCCTAAACCAGACAGTCCCCCATTGTGGGAGAGGTAGGGGGCTTTCTTGGTTCCCTCCGGCTACCCGTTGCTGCTACACCACCCAGCTGAGCAGTGGGGTGGCAATTTAAAAGCCAGTGGCCAGGAACAGGGCTCTGGGAAAGTCTTACCTGGGAGCCCAGCTTCTGCTGGCCCTGCCTTGCTGCCCAGCTGAGCGGCAGAGCCACGTGTTAGAAGTGGGGAGGCCAGAAGGGCTGAGAGCCAGGCATGAAGAGGCTTTCCTAAGCCTAGCTCAGCTCCCAACTTCTGGCCCCTCTAACTTTTGCCTTGCCTCCCACAATGCCCAGCTGACATGGAGCAGTGCGGGCAAGGCCAGTCACTACAGCCAAATGCCCCCCACAATGCCCTGCATTGCTCTGGGTCAGCTCTGGAACCGTGGCTGAGTGCTCTCCCCCTCTCTCCCTGCACTCCTCCAGGTAAGCTACTGCTTTTCAGCAGATGCAAACTGCTACCTGGCAACCTGCCTCCTTTTCCAGATGGGATAGGGCAGGCTGTCTAGTAGTGGGCTTCCCTAAGGCAGGGGTGGCACCTTTTGGGCTATTTTTCTATCAGAGAAAAATTCTTCTGGTAGAAATGAACATTTGTATGCAGCCTGAGCTGAAAAAATATTGGGGTTTTGAAGTGGGGAGTATTGGAAAGAGGCAGAAGTGGCTGTTGGGATTAACATCCATTTAGTTTGGGGAACCCTTCTCAAGCACCTCTTCAAAGGAGAGCATTACTAATGTGTTACTGACCTTCACGTGATCAGAAGGGGCTCTTCAATAAGACAACTCTTTGCTTTTTGAGCTGGGTCTCTTTTAGTAGTCTGTTGAGAAGGTGAGAAGCTTAGCTGGTATATATTGTATTTACCTGAGTCCAAGGCAACTTCAAAATTTAAGATGACTCCCCATTAATTAGATTCCAGAGGCGGCAGTGAGGTGGGGCAGGTGGCTGCTACCTGCCCAGCCCTTCCCCCCGCTTATACTCAAATCCAAGATGAGGGGCTTTTGCTATCTTGGCTTGGATTCCAGTAAATATTGTACTGACTTTGAATGGAACTACATTGATTTACTTCACAGAGGACCTGTTCCAGAATACCTCCACCACTTTCTTAGGACCCTCCATAGCTATTTGCCAGCCTGAGATCTCCATTTCTGAAAGGGAAAGCTGTTCCTTAGGAAAAAAATGTGGAGGAAGAAGAGGGGGAGGCTGCATTGAGATTTTTTTTTTAAGTTATTTTCCTATATAAAGGGTCTTGATGGAAAATGAATGCAAGCTAAATTGAATTAACACAACATGTTGTACTTGTATAGTCTTGTGTAGAGCACCCTCACAAATGTATCCTTTTTGTGCTTTATAGAAATGTATTATGATACCTGTTCAGTTAATTGATATGATCTTTTCTCTTGCTGTCTCTTTTTTTTTTCCTTCCCTCTTCATTTTTCTCTACATCATCATTCTAACTTCTTTTATGTAGTGAAAAGGATTTGGTGAAACAGGCAAAAACCTTAAACATTGCAGCAAACAAATTGATCCAGAAACACCATTAGGCATTTTTACATCTGTTCACCTCACAGCTCTGATCTCAAAACTCAGTTATGAGGGGAAAAACTTGAGAATCGTTAAAAGCAACTGTTTAAATGTTATTTGTCACCTAAGATTGATTTGGAATTTGCTGAATTTGTTAAAACCTTTGGGTTTTTCTTTAGAGTTATAATGTAGTATAAAATCCCAAATTTGCTATTTAATCTTTGTTGGCCAATAAATGCACCAGAAAAAACCATAAGGAATGATAAACCTGTGGCTCTGTAGATACCATTGATGTATGCAGCACAAGGCTTCAGCATTTTAATGGATAGTAGATGGGTTGTTCTGGTTGAGATACCTGGTTGGCCAGTTCTGGAAAAGTCAGGCTAGATTTCTCTCTCACCCTTTTGTGATGTAGACAAAGAAAACGTGTCCCTGGAAGTTGTTGGTAGCTGTGTGTATCCCAAGCCATTACTTTCTCATTTTTTTTTGCCTTTGGTTTAACCCCCAAACCAGGACAAATGAACTACATATGGGGAAATTAGCACCACATCTTAGTATATCATCACCATGAAAGATCCAGTCCTCCCAAACCAAGACTGCTTGCAACAATTTTGCCTTAGTGACTTGGGGGCAGGGATCATCTTCACATTCCTTTAAACTTCATGTATACAAAATTAGTAAATAGGTGTCTTAGAGTAATATTATAGAGTGGTACCTTCAGTGAAAAACCTCTTTATCTTTGCATTGCCTTCTACCTCTGCCATAATTCCCTCTAGAAATATGTTGCAGTTCTTCTGAACTGAAGGAAGGAGGGGTGAGGTATTTTGTTATGCCTTTCCTCCTCTAGAAAAAAGAATTACACATTTTACGAAACTTTTCTGCTCTTTATACCTTAGTGTAAAAAAAGAAATAAATAAAACTGAGCAGGGGAGGGCATGGAACTTGTAGTACTTTACTGGCCACTCCTTGTCTCAGAGTAGCTAGCATACAGTTAAAAGGAAATAATTGCCTTTCACTATTACACTTGTTAAATTTGCTTCTAAGTTTCTGTTGCTTGGTACAAATGTGGAATTTCCTAATCTAAAACCAACTAAAGCGTGGAAACAGTACTAAATAGGAAAAATAATTATAAACTTAACATTTTACTGCAAACTTTTTAAAACTGTAGATTGGAATATTGTATGTTAACATCCTTGTCGCTGTGGTCACAAGAGATCACAATACTGGCATTGTAAATAATTCTATAAATACTTTGCTTCAAGAAATTGAGTTCGATTCTGTTTTCCCTGTGTCCTAATAGTTTTGCGCTCTAGTGAGGTGATTGCAAAAATTCCCTGTCATGTAATTTTCCCACTCTGTCATGTAGAATAGGACTCCTTGATGGACAGTGGGAGATATATGTGACTAATGCAGCTGGACAACCTATTGATTATTGATTTCCACTGGGTACACCTAAAAATGTATGGGGCTCAATTTTTGCCTTCCTACACAGGTGTTTTGGTTCTTGGCCTGTGTAATTGACTTCTGCATGGAGGCAGACGTTTTATAAGGTCTACCTTCCTGGTAGAGCCACACCTAAGTATCTGAGTATAGTCATCAACTCACATGTTTGAAAACTTGAAATTATTCTTGAGTGACCATTTATTCTGAATTCGTTTTAATTTCTACAGAATAAAGATTTTCATCAGGGTATCCAAGTGGCTAGTTAGGATTATTACAACTCCCCAAGATTCTTCATATGGGAAATTAGATTGTTTCCTATCACAGTGATGCTTAAGTAAAATGGGAGACTTCACATATATAGCAATTTCTTACTTTTGATACGGAGCGTAAATTGCTTTGGTATAAATGCCGGTGTGCTTAATCTGATGTGATAGTTGTGGAAGAGACCAGGAAAATGCACTAATTCTAAATATAGTAGATAATCTATGTCACAAGTTCCAGTTACATGTGTAAAGTTGAACTGTAATGTACATTAAAATCAAATTTGACTTAAAATTCTGTGTACTTGAGGGTTGCTTTGAATCTGGATAGAACTGATGTTTCTGTTTATCATCTAATGGCTGTAATCTGTAGTAATAGAATAAAAAAAAATTGAAAATCAGAGTTTCTTCTGCCTGGTTCACCAACATTTTGTTTTTCCTTTAGAAGACTTTCCTTCCCGCCACTTTTTAAAACATAATTTGTGTTTTCCCCTTCATTGGGTTTAGTTTCTTTGTTGTTTAAATTCAGTCTTCCTCCCCACCATGGCTTTTGTTTTTTATCACAAGTTCATGTGGCTCAAATCCAGATTGCAACAAGCAGAGAAGGAACGCCAGTCTGCTGAGGAGGACAACCGGTTGTTCAAGCACGAATTTGGGGACAAGATCAACAGTCTTCAGATAGAAGTGGAAAAGCTCATCAAGCAGCGGTGAAGAAACAGCTTTCTAATATATTACTTGGGTTTGCTTTCTGAGCCTGGTAGGAGATATTTGAGAGAGCCCTCCCGAAATGGGAAGGGATTGGGGGAAGAGACAGGCAGATATATCCTAGATGGGAGAGGGTATTTGTATCAAAGCATTCACTTTACATTAAGTTTCAGATTTTCAGATCTGGACATCTGAATTGCAGTTGGTCTTTAAATATATTTTTAAAATAAAAACACAAAACAGGAAATCTTTGAGGAAAATGATCAAGAGAAATAAAAATAAGAAAAATCTTGTTTTAAGCAATCCACAGAACAAAATGGGCAGAAATTTAAATATAAAATTGTTCTTCAAGCACTTAACTGCTTTAGGAGTATGTCTGTGTTGTAGTCAAAAGTGTGACCATAGCTTGTGTAGACATACCTGAGCGAGCTTTAAACTATCTGCCAAGTTTAAAAGGCATGTTTTATGGCCTGATCTGGGCACTGTGTTGCTGTAGCTACACTGCTAGCCGTATCTGAGCCAGCTTTGGAGATATCTTCTTGAGCTGCAGTCGCTCCTTTTTGATTATACAGTGTACTTGACCAAAGTCTGGGTGGGGTTGGGGGGGAGTGTCCTTTTAATAACATACTTTTGTATTCTAGAATACCAATTTCTGAGAGGAAAATGCATATTCATAACCAGGAGCTATTGTTTCATTATCTACAACAGTGGTTCTCAGTCAGGGTGCCACAGCACCTTGGGGTGCCCTGAGACACCCCTCAGGGGTGCTGTGATGGAGGCGCTGCCACCACCACCATGGTGGCACCTCCGTGGCAAGTACATGTTCTTCCTGCATTATTATTCTCTGACAACTCTAACTCAGGGAAAAGAGCCAACCTGTTCTATAGCTGTTCCTGGTCTGCCTATCTCCCCTCCCGCATGCTCTTCCTAGAAACAGAGGCATAAAGGACAGTGCCACCTGCCCCAAGCACACCCTGTTTCTGGGAGAATGTTGTGCAGAGTTGGACCAGGAATGGCAGCAGTACAAGCTGGGTCTCCTGCCTGCTTGGAGTTAGCAGTGAACCCTAATGAGACGGAGACTGCACAGCCCTTCCTAGTCTGGCTACACGGAAGTCTCATGGGATGGTTTTACCTGGCTGGGGTGACTAGACCACTCAGTTGGAAACCACTGAGGTAAGTTGAGCACGACAGTGGCTTTCCAGCAGGGATGCTGCTATATTTAAAAACTTGGTGGAGAGGTGACATGATCTAGATGGACTTCCTTTTCAGCAGCAAATGCCCTTTAGGAGAAGGAGATAATAAACAACTTTGGCACCAATCTAATAAGTAAACCCATGTGTTTTAAATTCACAAACACCTTTAATTTTGTTAATAGCCAGCCACAGACTTGAAAGTCAAACAGAAATAACTTAGCTGTGAAGGGCTGGCATCTTCCTCCTACAGTGACATCAGTTTACTAACATCAGAGAAACACAAATTGTCTTACCTTGAACTTAGAAGAGCCTGTCTCATTTTGTACATATAACATATGCTCTGTCCCAGGGAAGAGTCACTGTAGCTAGCTGCATGGAGGTATTATCAGATACCTTATCCCTTGTACTGCTGCTTTTCTCTGTCTCCTGCGTTTTTGTTTTTTTTAATAGATACCCCCCCCCCCCCCCAAAAAAAAAAAAAAAACCAAACAACCCAGTTTGTATGGATCCTCTGTAAAGCACAGTAACACAAATCAAAATGGTAATGTTTTGGGAGCTGACTGCTGTTAAATAATACTCTAAAGATCCCATATATGCATATTAAGGACACGTATCCAATTCATAGTATCACAGTAGCTAGGGTCAGGAGGGACCTGAACAGATCATCTAGCCTGACCCCCTGCCACAGGCAGGAATGAATGCTGGGTTCACAAGACCCCAGACAGGGGATCATCCAACCTCCTTTTGAATGAATTTGCCCAAGGTAGGGGCGAGGACCTCTTCCCTGGAAGTTGGTTCCAGATTTTGGCCACCCTAACTAAAATATTGCCTTCTGATCTCCAACATAAACCTATTCTCCATCAGCTTATTACCATTGTTCCTTGTCACCCCAGGTGTCGCTGGGGAGAAAAGGGCTCTACCTATTTGCTGTTGGTCTCCCCTGGTGAGTTTGTAGGCAGCCACCAGGTCCGTCCTCAGCCTCCTCTTGCTGAAGCTGAACAGGTTCAGGTCCCTCAGTCTCTCCTTGTATGGCCTGTCCTGCTGCCCTCGCACCAAGCGGGTGGCCCTCCTCTGAACCCTCTGCAGCAGGCTGGCCACACTAAATTCGTGGAAGCACACCTTTTAGTGCCCTCATCTGATTTCTACCACCACCCCCCTCCCCCCACGCACACACACACACCTGCTGTGGTAGTTAGACTGCACTGAAAAGGACAGAAATGCCAGGTTTTGTTTCTTCACTACTAGTAATACCATCAGACACAAAGAGAGTTTAGGCCTTTTTTTCCACATGCAAGTTGCACTGAATTGCACTGATTTTTTTTTTTTTTAATTCTGTTTAGTCAATAATATCTGACCAACCCCATCAGGGTGTAGACAGCTTTATAAAATGGCATGCCTTCTATCAGTTTATCTTTTAAATTGTTTCTGTGCTGAGTTTAGGGTAAATCAGGGAGGCACTCAACCTGGTTTAATTATGCCCATGTAAGGGGTTTGCACAGATTTAGTTAAATTGATTTCTGAGTCAATTTAGTTAATTTTAGGTAGTTAAGTTTCAGCCAAATTTTAGTGCAGCTTCTCTCTGTAACAGGGCCATAGGGGTAGTCTTTTTAGTGGTAAAGATTGTGAAGGGTTTTCCTGTTGGTATATAATACATTTTGGGGGATAAATTTTAATGCAGTTTTTGGGGTCAAGATTACTGTGACTTCTAGTATAGTAAATGCACGGGTGGACACAGATTCACTAGGTTTCTGTGGGCAGCTACCTGCTAGTAAAAACCCATGTCCCTCATGGTGTCTAATAATTCTTGAGAAGGCGTTGGCTCTGATAGTGGAGTAAGATTGTGGTTTTGAAGGAGGGCAAGGTGCGGATTTCCCTAATCTTCACCTTTTGGGCAAGAATTGTTCCCAGCTGTCTGTGTGGGTTTGTTTTCATTGTCTTTATTGTTTTGGTTTGGTTCTTTTTGTTTTGGCTCTTTTTTCAGTTTAGTGTAATAGTGCACAAAATTATAGTTTCTGTCACTTTCGTTGGTGTACCCACCCGTCTTCTCTGAGAACTCTCTTGTAATGTCCTGACTGTATGCTGGTCCATATCTCTATTCATTTGGTCTAGGTAGGGTGATATTGCAGATTTTCCTATGCTTGGCCGAGACAGTTTTGAATGAGAGAGCCGGTTGAAGTTATTCTAGATCAGACCAAGCAGATGAGGGTTGTTTGCTATATGTTCAAGTTGCTGCTCCAGTGAAAGGCTTCTGTTGGGGGTCTGCAACTATTTTTTGCTCTCTCTCTCTCTCTCTTTTTTTTTTTTAATCACTTTTCACTTCTGGCTGCTTCTGATGGCATAAGTGAATCGGCTATCCTCTTCCTTCTGTCCTTTGACTGGTGGTTACAATGTCTTCCTTTCAAATAAGAACTTGCTGAAGTATTTGTGTGTCTGTCACCTCTGGCTTTTAGATCACTGCAGCATATTCCACATGGGGCTAACATAAGAGCCCTCTGCCACAGCTGGTATGCAGACCAGTGCCCTTGCTTCTGAGTGAGCTAGAGAGACTTATTATGCCTCTGCACCATATACCATAATTACCTGAATCCAAGACATCTTCAAATTTTAAGACAACCCTCCAATAATTAGATTCTATACATGGAAAATTATAATTTTGTTAAATGTTATAATAAATTTGTAATTTTACATATACACAGTCTAATTAGTGGAAGGAAGGTCATCTTAAATTTTCTCTTCCCACTGCTGAAGGGGGCAAGGGGCCAGACCCCTGCCCCTTAGTCACCTTCCTCTTGTCCCCCTATGCCTGACCCCCCCCGTGCCTGCCCCTCTACCTATTC